ATAAGGTTATGTTTGGGTGCTTTTAAAACTTCTCCAGTAAACGCGCTTCAGGCCTCAGCCGGAGAGATGCCATTGCACATCAGAAGGTCATGGTTAACGAAAAAATACATCCTCATAGTGTATTCCGACAATAATCATCCTGTAGGTAAAGAAATTAGAAGTGGAAACGTGTTCTGTCCCCAACTATCTTTCATTATTAACGAATTGCAGCCTCTTATTAAATCACTACACATTTCGGAAGCACCTCTAGAATACACAACACCCATTCCCAAATCTTTAATTAATATTCACAGCTCCTCTAATCTAGCTGGTAAATTAGAGAAGAAAAGTTCATACCCACCAATTTATTTGAAACAATTAGCACTAAACACAATCACTGACCGCTACCCAAATTATCTACAAATTTATACAGACGCATCAAAAACAAGTAACCGGACTTCTGTAGCTGTGTATGATCCCCAAAAGAACCAGAAATTTTCACTATCAATTCCAGTTGATTTCAGTATTTTCAGCGCCGAACTATATGCCATTCTTAACGCCATAATATACAGCGAAAACACATGTATCAACCAAAAAATAGTTATTCTGACAGACTCCGCAACGGCATGTAAACACCTAAAATTAATCTACCAAAATACCAAAGCACTGACACACATTTCCTTTAAAATTATATCTCTGATACATAACTCCAGCAACAATTACTTTTTTCAGTGGGTGCCGGGACACGTAGGAATATTAGGAAATGAAATTGCAGATAAAACAGCAAATCAAAACCAACTACACCGAATAAACGCGAAGGTCCCTTTACTTGATTTGATAAGAGTAGTGAGGGGGAAAATAATGAAAGACTGGCAGCATTTCTACGACTGGGAATGTGCCTCGAAGGGTAAGGACCATTACGCAGTTCAACCGAAAATAGCACTGATTCCATGGTTTGCGACTCTTAAATCTCATCTCGACCGCTCCAGCTTAGTAAAGCTGACCAGGCTTAGGATAAACCACGGTAGAACAAATAAATATCTACATCTAATGGGGCTAGCTGAGAGCAGTCAATGCCCAACATGCCAATGCTTGGAGGATCCAAGACACATTGCCTTCAAGTGCAAAAGGTTCGAAAAGCGAAGAAGAATTAGTTTAGGGTCGCAAACTACGGATGATGGAGCTAACTTTCTTCGGTCACTGAACAAAGATAACGCTCGTGACTTGTTAAAGTTCATGAATGGCATCAAAGCAGTCATATAATAAAAGTCGGCACTTAGTTAATTGCAATTCTAATTCATCTCAGTTTTTAACCATTAGTCTTGCTAGTTTCCATAATATCTAATATCTAATATCCAAGTCCCATATAAGTCACTTTCAATTATCATCTAACTGTAAATAATTAATATAAATCCAATGTAATTTCCGTCTAAAAACCTTAATTTCATCTCACTATGGCAAAGAAAATATTTTGCTGGCAAAATAGTACTTGCTTTTACAAGTCTTAAAGCCAAAAAAACCAAAAAAAAAAAAAAAAACACTTTTAAGAAAATAAGGAAAGGTATATAAGAATTGCCGTCTTCAGAAGAAGAGACTATCAAATATTTTCAAGAAGCCGGGATAATTGCAAAAGTGAAATATTGTGATAAAGGTCATGAAATGAAGTTTGACGGGAAGACGAAATGGAGATGTTTTCATAACACAACAAGAAAAACGTATCTATAAGGAAAGGGACGTAGTTAGATGGGCCAAAGATTACCTTTTCTACCGTTTTAAAATTAATTTATGGATGGTCTCAGGATTTGACAACAATACAATGGGGCAAAGAGCAGCTGAAACTATCGAACAGATGTATCATAATGTGGAACAAATTTTTAAGAGAGGTTTATGCCCATAACATGTTCTTCAGGTCAACTAAGAAAATTGGAGTGCCGGGGAAAGTTGACGAGTCTTTTTTCTAAAAGAAAAAAATCATGTAGGGAGAGTTCTCCCTGAACAATGGAGGTTTGGTGGAATTTGTCGAGAAACAGACGAGTGTTTCATCATAAAAATAAAGGACAGACAGGCAAGAACTTTATTACAATGTATTAAAAATAATATAGAAGAGGGAAGAACCATTTATTCTGACTCTTGGAAAGGATACAACACCCAACAACTGAATGAAGCAAACTATAATCATTTGCAGATGAATCACTAGTATAACTTTGTTGATCCATCAACTGGGGTCCATACTCAACATATAGAATGTTTATGGGGCTCAGCTAAGAAAGTGGAGAAATAAGAAACATCGAGGAACTGCGAAGCAACACCTCGATTCATATTTATGTGAAATTTTGTGATGGTGGGTTCACAGAGAAGAGGACCCGTTCCTTGCCATTTTAAATAACATTAAGCTATTTTGTCTTCTGAAATAAATCAAATCAGTGTCTTGTTACTTATATTTCTTATTATTAAATTACAATATTATTATTACATTTATATTTCTTATAAATATATATATATATATATATATATATATATATATATATATTGACTAAAAGTTAGATTTATGAGGACTTTGATACACGTAGATAATAGAATCAAGAAACTCTCTCATTATGAATATAATTTCACTTTTTTTTTCTTTATTCATTGAAATTAAAATATGTATATATGTATATATACGTACATATATCTCGTACATATCTCGACCTTCTAATCTTTACATGCCTTCTCACAGATCTGCCTCATTTCAAATTCCTTTATTGTTCGCTCTGTCAATTTCTGGAATTCCCTCCCTATCAAAATTCGACATTCCCCATCCATATCCACATTCAAAACCCTCCTACTCCAATTTCTATCCCAAAAACAGTCAGATAATTGCTAACCATTCAAGCAGATTTTAATAGAGAATTTGATACATTTTTATTTTTTAATTCTTTATTATTTTCTTAAAAGTGTATAGTGGTCTATAAGTGCAAATAGCTTTAAGTGTCTTGTCATAGTATTAATTGTTTTGTATATAGTTTCGTTAGTTTTGTATATAGAATTTTTACCTTATATTTTTTTTACATTATTTCTTTTTTTCGATTGATTTTATTTTGGCCAGATGTAATATTTTAATTTTTTTCTATTTTGTTATTCTCAAGGGACTGTGTCCCAGAATAAAGTTATTTTTCTATTCTATTCTATGTATATGTATGTTGTAAAATAAAAGTGTTGTATGTAAAAGCATGCTGTAAGATAAAAGTAGTAAAACATTTGTTTTTGTGTTTTTGAATTTTATATGAAGATAGGGATTATCAGTGCCTTATCAAAATTATCAGTGTTCAGGTAATAAACATTGGCAGATAGCAGTCCATAGAGACCAGACTGTTCACAAGTACCAAGAGACCTTAGGAGAGAGAGTTCACAGTGAGAGGCTTCTGGTTTGGGTCTCGTGGAACAATCCAAAAAAGAACAAGGAGATTCCTCGAGGAACTAGGTGTTAATGTTGGGGAACTTGCGATATTGGTCACGAATATTACACTGGACTCCGTGGGGATCATCCACTATCACTTATATAGTAGTAATTGACTGTGAATTTAGGATGTCTTTCGTCATTTATCTGTTTATTTAATTTTAATTTTTAGCTTTGCCTTATCTTTTTATCTATATTCATAGAATTGCATTGATGTATGTATGTGCAATTTAGTCTTGTATTTCTAGCATTTAAATACTTTTTATTTTATTTTTCAAACAATATGTGTTATATAATGGTAATTGTTTAATATGGTATATTAGTGATATTGTATATGACTAGTATTATGAAAAGGGGGAAAAAAATAATATGGTTATATAATAATGGAATAATATAATTTAAGAGCTTCGTCCGTATGGATTGATCAGTATGCTGTGTATAAAGCAACCCTATGTAATAGAGCAGTATTACTTTCAATAAAGTATTTCTGTCTCTTACCTTAAGCGTAAAAAAAAATACAAGCAAGAATGAAAATGAATAATCATATTTTTAGGTGCTTAAATAAATGACTTTAGGCTATGGTAGCATTAAGAAAGTTTTGGTAAATAAATCATTTATACAATAGTTTTAAAAATTAAAAACAAACTCTAATATTGCTCAAAAACATTGCAAATTTGGCTCTAATTAAGAAACTTCTTTTAAAATAAACTTAAAATTTAATATATAAATCATGATATTTCAAAATAATGCCATGCAAACAATATATTGATGCTCAACCTCACAAAAGATGTAAATGCAAATTTAATTATTTCTACTGTTTTCTAGATTTTATTTGTCTTTTTTCACAGCTATCACAAAATCAAACATTATAACAAAAGTTTCATTGAGAAATTTGCGAATGTATTTCGACACTATGGCAATTAATCGTAATGTTTTGACTTTTGTTATTTCACAAATAAAAGAAAATAATTTCACTAGGATAGGTTTGGAAAAACAATGATTTCAATTCTGAATAATATAAATAAAATTAGTAGGAAAACCTTCATGGTAAATCTAATTAGATATAATTTCTCGGCTTAGGTATATAGGGCCTTTCCTACCATACATTCACCGAATTTCTTGTTTAAAAGTTTAAATATTTTCATTGTAAAAATCTAATCTTTATAATATAAAGTTTCTTTATTGACTCAATATGGACTATAACATTCTCCAAATATGTAACAGAAAGGATGCATGTAATTTTATAAATAAACTGTCGATTTTAGGAAAGATATTAATGTAGTTAAACATGGTGTTATATACAGTCCAGAGATTAAGATTGATGCACGGGTCGGTGCGATGTGTGAAGCTTGTGGTGGTGCAAGGGTGAGTATGCTATTGTGGACGAGGCCTATCTTACACTTCTTACACATTGGGCCCTAAATAAAGTATATACAGACTTTTAACTGGGTGAGGGAGGAGACTTAGAGAACAACAGAACTGTAAATTCAGTAAATACGATCAATGACATTTAGGTAAAGTTTTATTTCATATCCCATTGGGCATTGATTAGATATTTTTTAAAGATAAGAAAAAAAATTACCTGTCTAAGCTGTTTTATTTTATTATCTGGGCAAATATTTGTAGGTAAGGTTTTATTATGCCATGTTATAATTGTAGACCCAGGAGAAAAACCACTTAAAACTACAGCACTGGTGTCTGGGTCACCAAAAAGCCGAGCTAATTTTTCAACAAATGATCTTTGCAATGATGGGCTTTCTATAAATTTTTTATAATTCAAACCCAGTTTCATGCTGAATTCTACATTGTACATTACTCGAGGAGCAGGATGAACAATTACTACAAGACCATCTCTAGCAACAAGTCCTCCTTTATCTTGACAAATCTGGAAAATAATATAAATTATATTACAGATAACAATACAATAATAATAAACAGATATTAGGATATTTACCAACAAATACTCTCTTTGCCCAACATCTGGAGACATAGGAATACCATAAAATTCTTGATTTTTTGCATCAAACTGTAACCAATTATTATCTGGAATTTGTTTTCCATCTTTCATTTCAAGAGATAAATTTAAATTTCTAGAATTTCCATCTTGATGATCAAAAAATGAATCCTATTAGGCAAATAAAAATAAAGAATAACACATTTTAGATGTTTATTAAAAATTATTGCATGAGAATAAAACACTTACAGTAATATATGTATATAAAATTGAATAATAGGTCATTAATCACACTTTGATAAACCACAACAACCTCTGCTTACTCCTTCCACTCGTTTTGATCCTGTTTTCCTTAGACAAATAATGGGATCCTCTTCAGTATTACTTTAAACTGAGCACTGATACCTCAAGTGAACCAGCATGCTGACAACAACACTGCCTCCTAGCAAATATATCAGGTACCCTGAAATCTTTGCTAGGAGGCTGTGCTGTGACTGTCACCTTGGGGTATCGATGCTCAATTTAAAATAATACTGAAGAGGATCCCATTATTTGTTTGAGAAAAATGGGATCCAAACGTTTGAGTGCAAGGAGAAGTTGAGGTTGCTGTAGTTTATCAAAGTATGGTCAGTGACCTATTCCCATATTATAGTGATTATCTTGAATTATAATTTTTAAGCGTCAATTAAGGGAGCAGGGTAGTTCAGTGGGTGAGCACTGACTCCTGGAGCTCAAGAACCCAGGTTCAAGTCCGGCTGATGGCTAGTCATTTTTCATCAGCCGTGGATCAATCCTGGGGTCGGGAGACCCTCCTGAGGCATACTCAGCCTCTATTAAGTGATTATACTAAATTAAATAATTAATTAAGAGGAAAATCTGGCGACTTGAGTGTGATGTTGACCCAATCACCTACCTGCACAACCATTGGCCTTGTAACAGTACTTCCTCATGAATATATATGTAAGAAAATATAAGTACTGAACCCAAGACCTTTCATGGGTTGTTGTTGTACAGGTTTCAGGTAGGTAAGGGTCTATTAAAAAAAAAAAAATATATATATATATATATATATTGACTAAAAGTTAGATTTATGGGGACTTTGATACACCTAGATAATAGAATCAAGAAACTCTCTCATTATGAATATAATTTCACTTTTTTTTCTTTATTCATTGAAATTAAAACTTGACAATGATCCCGGTATATTCTGGTGGTAGAGTGGAGTCTCCAGAAATTTAGCCACTACATAAATAGGAGCTACTGGCTTTAATGATGCACAGAAGTTTTAAACCATATTTTGACAGGTATACGCGGAATACATAACTATCTGAAATGGTACAAGAATTTCATTCCCAAAGGTATTTTAGCCAATACTATCCAAGTATTGATATTTTTTTAATAAACTCAGAAGGTAGGTAGGGTATTGGAGTGACAGATGTAGGAGGGAATGAAATTCCATGGAGACAATGATCGAATAATGACAGATTTGTCAAAAGCCACTGTTCGGTGAACCATTGTATATAAATCTGAAGACTAGGAGCAGATATTGCGGGAGTGAACAGAGGATTGAATGACTTGGTAGAGGAAGGATGTGAGGAAATATTTACAAAGGAAGAAAGAATAAACTTCAATTTTTCATAAAAACAGGAGACCGAGGCGTCCCTCAAGATCTCATGTCTCCATATATCACACAAAAGTTGCCAAAGAGGGGGAATCTAAAGGAAATAACCAGGAGCCCAGGGGTTTCTAACAGAAATAGGTGATGGAGGTAATTTAGATGTTTTAAGGTAGAAAAGGAACTGTGAGAGATAATGGATACATGTTTTTCCAGGAAAGGGTTTGATCAAAGGTTATTACACGATTTTTTAATGGCGATATAAAATTTGATGGGATTATCATTTAGGTGCAGGGTGTGGATGTTAGGAACAGTTTTAAGGTGATTGGAGTCTATTAGAATTGCCTTCATCTTCTCCGCATTCAGTTATAGATACGGTAAAGTATGGGAATAAGAACAAGAAGGCAGGATTTTATTAGTTTAACTGGGATATTGTCAGGACCATAATTGTTAAGAGTGGGATTTTAGATAGTGGTAAGGAGTTTATCAAAGAACACATGGAAAAAAAAAAGAAGTCTTCCAGATTGATATTCTGAGGTTCAATATGAGCAGTAGGAGAAGGTTTGGAAGCGAAGGATAAGGAATGCCCATTGAGATTGTAATGGCCTGTTCCTGCGAGTCATCTCGCCACACATCGGAATATAGTTCAGGCCCGCTAACTGGCAGCGCCACACATGCGCGCTCATTCATTGTATCCCAAATTGTATTATTTTTCTCATTATTGTATTATAAATTGAAATATGTATATACATTGTAAATACTTTTTATTAATAATGTTAGAAGGCCATAAGGTATACTAACCAACGCTTTTAAATAACAGCAATTGTTACCTGATTTAATAATAATAATGCTTTATTTATTCTGGGACAAGTCCCTTTAGAATAATACAGAAAGACAAAAATGTGGGCTAAGGAGCCTCAGAGTGTAGTAGATAGCCCCCAGTATTTACTCCTTTATGTGACATTGTGTGAGGGAATGAGAAGGAATATATAGGAATGTGAGGATGAACGATGAATTGTACTCAATTGTGCAGTAGACAAATTATTCATTGAAAAGTCTCATATTGATAACAATAAATGAAGAAGGACGCTGGAAAAAGGACGGAGCAGGTAGCAACAGCTGGAGAAGGACGCCGAAGAGAGGAGACTTCACTTGAGGCTGGGATGTTAAGGAAGAAGGTTACCTGAGAAGAAAAGTCTACTACAAGATTAAGAAGATCAAGTCTATAGTTATAACACTTTAATGGAGTCAATTTACTACAGTTGTAGAAATAAATTATTTTGTTATACAGGAGTGAAAAGTCATTTATTTATTTAGTTGTCCTATATGCCTCACGATTGAATAATAACAAATATATATATATATATATTCTTATTGTTTCTTCTCACTAAGTGTCACAAAAGTATTAGGGACCGAATTCCCAACAACAGTTAAAACCCTCAAAAAGTCTATATCCAGTGCCGGGTTTTTTTTTTAATGTTCACGAGTGTAAATAACCTAGTTCCCCAATAAAAACGGAAGGCTACTCGCCAATTGCCCGCCAAAAAGGATTATTTACAATTAAACTTTTAACAGGTTATTTACAAGAGATACATAAACAATAATATAGTTTGATTAAATAGTCAAAATAAAAAAAATAATAAAAGAAATTATAAGTTACTTTCTAAAAAGGGCCCGAAATTACGGATTGTAATTTCAAGGAATTTCACTCTTTCAGGTATGTTATAAAATATTCACTTTAATCTTAACCAGTCGAATCAAGGAATACGACGAGGAAATTATCGGAGACTACCAATGCGGATTTAGACGGAATCGTTCGACTATTGATCAAATATTTTCTTTACGGCAAATATTAGAGAAAAAATTGGAGTATAACGGTATTGTTCACCAGCTGTATATAGATTTTAAAAAGGCTTACGATTCTATTGACCACCAGAAACTGTATAATATTCTAATCGAACAGGAGATTCCAAAAAATTTAGTAAATCTAGTCAAGATGTGCTTGGTGGAGACACTCAATAAAGTTAGAATCGGTAATAATCAGTCCGAAAAATTTGAGGTTTGTTCGGGTTTAAAACAGGGGGGATTCCCTTTCACCTGTCCTGTTCAATTTGGCATTGGAACATGCCATTAGGGAGGTAATGCGTACCGAGAAAGGGTTGGATCTGGGTGGGACAACATCCGTGCTGGGCTATGCTGATGATCTGGTACTGTTAAGCGAAGAGTTGAAACTATAAAACTAAATACGACAACGTAAATGAAAGCCGGTAAAGAACTAGGACTCGAAATAAACGTGGATAAAACAAAATATATGGTTAGCTGCAAAAATGGCGATACTACTGATGATATCGATATAGATGGTAATATGTTTGAACAGATAGAGAAATTTAGGAATCTAGGTTCTACAATAACTAGAAAAAACGAAATTGAAGAAGAGATTAAGGTTAGACTGAAGGCGGGAAATGCTTGTTATTTTTCTGTGACAAAACTACTTAGTTCGCGCCTCTTGTCCCGGAACTTAAAAATTAGAATCTATAAAACAATTATTTTGCCTACAGTTCTTTATGGATGTGAAACTTGGCCGCTTACATTAAGGGATGAGCAGCGTCTTAAGGTTTTTGAAAATAAAGTATTGTGTAGAATATTCAGACCGAAGAAGGATGAGTTAAATGGAGAGTTCAGATGGTTACACAACGCCGAATTGCGTGAACTGTATCCGGGTAATATAATTGAGATAATTTCATCGTAGCGAATCAAAGGGCTTGTAAAGTTGTTGGGCTTAGTAACGAGAGAATTCCTAAAAGGTTAATATTTGCTGTGCCGAACGGTAAGCGTCCGAGGGGTAGACCGAAGCGAAGGTGGGAAGATTGCATTAAAGCCGATCTGAAGGGACTGGGTTTGGACGGCGAACGGTGGAGGGAGGTGTGTAATAAGCGATTGGTGGTGTCGGCATCGAACCTTCGGGTTTGCTAAGCCTTTTATTATTATTATTATTATTTATAAGTTACTTTCTAATTTAAATCAGTTAATAATAAAAAGTAAAAAATTGAAAATAAACATGAAGTAAAAATAATGAAGCTAATAATTTATAAACATATTTATAGTAGTAACTATTTACAATTTTATGAGGACTGGATGGATAAGAAATGATTAAACAGTCGGGATTTAAAGGTAGGAAGAGTTTTGGATTGACGGATGTGGGGAGAGATCGAGTTCCATAGGGATGAGAATCGAATAATAAAAGATTTATCGAAAGCAGCGGTACTATATACAGAACTACATTTGTATATAGTAAAAAAAAATCATAATAGAATCAGAAATAAGCAGCTGCCAAACTGCTGTAGAATCATAAAATCTAGCAATAAAACTTCCATAAAATTCTTCTTAATTCATCAAATAAAATTAATCACGTTCAATATTTTGAGGTGTTAGTCCCCATCTTTAGAACTGCAAATTTTGAACAATTGTTATTACAATGATGTTTGAAAATTTTTAAATAATATTTTAACTAACATAGATTACGACATATTTAAACTTAAAATGTATTTACATTATAATTAATAAATTTTGTTGTTTTAAATTTCATAACATAACTTTAAAAAAAAAAAATAATTGATAAGAACTAAATTGGTATGAAGAAATAATTTTGCTTAATTTTACAATCTGGGTAAATGATTTATTATATCAACTGTCAGAGCCATACCATATAATCTGGACACTTTTTATCCCAAATAAATAAAACTTATTTTTACTTTCACATCACCAGGGATTTATTTTAATACTGGTAAAAATTTGAATATTAAACAAAAATAAAAAATGAAATATAAATATTTGATATCATCACAAAAAATATTAATAAGTTTTATTCTAAGGAAAATATTTCCCTGTGCATACAAAGCATGAGTATACAACATTCCAGGTTGAATCTTGGCCTTCCTTGCAACCCATGTGTCCATTAAAAAGCTTTAGATCACCAGTCTCTTTATTATATTAATCCTACAACCTCTTAAGGTTGTTCTTATCACCATCAAGTAAGTATTTGTGTGAATACCCTTTTCTTCTGTTTTGATACACATTTAAAACATAACCAGCTTTGATATTTAGTCATGGCATATTCATTTTTAATTGCCAAGAGCCAACTGATTTTCCATATCTTTATAAATCTTATAACGCTATTTCAAATGAAATTTTCGATTTGGGCACAGCTTTTTATTTACAATTTATCATTCGTGAAAGTACTCTTGTCCCATGAATCTTCTTAATTAGTTACCAATAAAATAATATCTTAAATAAATCTTGAAGAGCCTAACCATCAGCAGTCCTTACATAATTTGTTCTCCCATATAAATGGCCACAGATAAAATCAGGTTATTATAAGCTCCATTTTAGTGTGATAAAGAAAGAAACTATAATTCAATTAGGTTTCTTTAAATAATTTAGATGCCTTATCTAATTTACTAAACAGGATTTTCAATTATTTTTTACTTAATGATGTTTCTGGACATCATTAGCAGAACCCTGTGAATGAGCCATCAAGTTAACATTCTGATAGTTAACGCTAGCCATAGAGTCACATGGAAGGTCACTACAGATCGGTGAGATCCACTTCACTAAATCAATTTATTGATCAAAAATACCAACAAATTTCTCATGGTACTGAAAGAATAAGATATAAAACGAGTTTTAAAATATATTTATTAAATAAAAACACATAATTTAACAGTTACATAATTTAAAAAGATTATTTAAAATCAAAACGAAAAATATGTTGACAAAACTAGGAACTTGAACATTAAATTCTGTATACCATTAAATACGAACACAAAAATCACTGAATACTAGGAACAATCATAATAGAATTAAATTTGATACACGAATAATTAGTACTAGCATCATCACAACATGAACATCAGCCTCTAAAGGGCTCAAATTTCTCATCGATAGTCACGTCTGCTCTAACTGAATAACAAGATTGGCAGTTTTTGACAAACTCTTCAAATATGTCTCTGACAGGTACCAGTAGGTCTATCTCCTAGTGTTCTTGATGTATTTCTCGTTCTTCAAATCTTAGAGATCAAAGTAAAAATCAAAACATTCGTACACTCATCGTAGGACAAAATATTTCTATTCCAAAATTGGTATCAATTAAGCCATTTGAATTCCACAAATCATCCAGATTTTTTCCCCCAGATTCATGCATTCCTGCAATATATAACAGCCCAATAAAAGCTTTGATTTCAATTATAACAACTGCTATTGTATCCCTTTACCGGGAAAAATTTCCACATACCCCATCAATCCTCACATTTTGGCACAAAAATTGGATGCAACACAGGCCACCCTTGTGTGGTACTACTGGATTGTATGACTCCAAGAACCAGGAGAATACATGGAGGGAGGATTCTCCTCTCCCATACAGTATAAAAACACATCAAATAAACTGCTCGGCGGATCTCTCAGATCTGGTGTGACCTTCGGCATGTTAACAATACAACTATTATTTCTAAACCTGCCCTCAAATTAGAACTTGTAAAGCAAGGATAATCAATAACTCAGCAAAATACAAGATTATATTTTATTTAATTTATAAGTATGGAAAGAAAAACAGACGATGGAATTAAGATTCAATTTGAATTAAATCACTAATATATTTTAAGTGCTGGCCTTTGACAATTGGTACCCCAGGTAATGGCGTTATCTCCCCCTCCTAAAATAAAATAAATTTATTTCTTCAGTTGTTTTATATTATATAATAATTTTATTTTATTTCATTCAATATTTCTCTTATACAGTTGTTATATTAATAGACTAAAATTGATTATTTTAATACAATAAATATACATGTATTTTTTTTAAATTCTTAACAAGTGGCTCCGATGATCGGCACCCTCAACGGGTGCCTCTTTAGGTCTGTGCCCTGGGGCGATTGCCCCGGTCACTCCTCCCGTAAGGTGGCACTGTACATGCTAACACAAATATGCAAATAAATGGACAAATGCATACGTAACCACACAATAACCACCAAGCACTTGCCTATACATAGATCCTCATACACTTAATATGCTATATTTTTTATAATACATATTATACTTTCTTCTATAGAATATACTTCACAATATTTAATATCTATTTTAAGCTTAATAATAAATATTACCGAAGGTACAGTAAAAACTAAAAGTTGTCCAACAGTAGCATTTAGGTAATCAACTGGATTTCTTGCAATAGGAGCAGAATTATTTTTTGAAGAAACATCTGGTGGCTTTGATTCACACAATCCTTTTCCAATATATGAAATATTGCCAATACTTAGCCCCGGGAACACTTCCGAATTTTTCAGGCCGCCATCATTTGTTAAAGTCTAAAATGAAATTTTAGATAAATTAATAAAGCTAAGAATTTGTCAAAACAATAAATATAAATTCAATGTATACCTTAAAAAGGAAATTAATTTCACTTAATGGACACTCGTTTCGTGGAAGGGAGTCATTGGACCAGGTGAAACTATATGGCTGTGAAGTGCTGACATCAAGAACTGTTATATTGGAAGTGTCTTGATCATCTAACTTTTTACGAATAGCATCTAAGAGTTTTAATTCCCAGTCTAAGCTAATGCCAGATGGTACAGTTAACAACTCCATTGTAATAGCATGGTTCACAGCCCTTCTTCCTTTGTGGTCTTGAACACGAACTTCTATATTGTCTTCTACCATCAAACCACCAGAATCATATGCTATCAAATCGAATGTCCATTTGGAAATATGATCTTCAAGTGGTCTTTAAAAATAAAAATAAAAATGGTTAATGAAAAAAAAAATTCAATGTTTTAAATATAAACTTTATAGCATATCTAAAACAAAGTAAAAAAATGGAAGAAATATATAATAAATAAATGGAATTATGAACTAATTAAAGCAAATAAAAAAATGAAAACAACATAACTCTTAAGTTTTCTATAATAATGTAATACATACTCATATCAAATTGTTAGTATAATAAGGCTTAGCAAACCCGAAAGTTCGATGCCGATAGCACTAATCGATGTTTATATTCTTCCATCCACTGGGCACCATCTAAACTCAACCCCGCAAGATCAGCCTAAACGCAATCTTCCCACATTTGCTTCGGTCTACCCCTCAAACGCTTGCCAATTGGCATAGTGCATATTACTGTTTAGTTATTCTTTCGTAACTAATCTCAGTGACTTAACATGCCCATTTTATTTGCCTCAACTTAATCATCTCAATTATATTAACCAAGTACAGTTAACACAATTCAACATTGTGTAATCGCCTAAATTATCCGACTGACTCATCCTTCTTCGGTCCGAATATTCATATCCATAAATAACCGTAGAAAGGATAATGGTTTAATAAATTTTATTTTTTTTAATTTTGGGACAAGAGGCCCGAGCTAAGTAATTATGACAAAGAAATATAACAGGCATTTCCCACCTTCAACCTGACCTTAATCTCCTCTTCAATTTCGTTTTTTCTAGTTATCGTAGATACCTAAAATTCTCTACATGTTCAAAATGTTCTACATGTTCTATACCAATATCACCAAAATTGTCGCTGTTCTTGCAGCTAACCATATATTTTGTCTTATCCGTATTTATTTCGAGTTCTTTACCGGCTTTCATCAAAGTTGTTTGCTGTATTTAGTTTTATTGTGTAAATTGTTAGTATACCATTATTTAATATTACAAAGAAATTACAATATTGATTTTAATGGGGTTATTTGTATACTGGGTGGGACAGAGGTTGTAACCAGAGGTACACCAAGCAATTTTGATATTAACTTTCCATCTCTTCTTTTACTGATTTTTAAGTTTAGTTCTCGACGTTGAACAGGCGTTTGATAGAGTTTGGCACCCGGGACTGCTGTACAAACTCCGAAAATTCCTACCATCTACATACTTCCTCATTATCCGTTCCTATCTTACTGATAGATACTTTAAAGTAAATCATAACAATGTCTATACATCCCGCTTTTCCCAGTCTGCAGGTGTTCCTCAAGGTAGTATCCTAGGTCCTATCCTTTACACAGCTGACATCCCAATCCATCCCAACACTGTCATCACCACATATGCTGATGACACATGTATCCTTTCAGTTAATAACGACCCATCTATTGCATCCCAAACCCTTCAATCCAACATCATAAACCTTGAAGAATGGTGTCAGAACTGGAGAATTAAAATAAATTCCAATAAATCCCATCAAATTACCTTCACCCTTCATCATAAACCAATGACTTCCTGTCCTTCAGTATCCTTTAACAACACCTCACTTATTCCTGTTGAATAAATCCGTTACCTAGGACTCCATCTGGACAAACGTCTAACTTGGAATCCTCATACCAGACTGAAACGACAAGAAACAGCTCGACGTTTCCGACTACTTCAACACTTACTAGACAAACGCTCTAACCTTCAATTAATTATAAAAGACTCATTTACATGACTATAATAAGGCCTATTTGGACTTACGGAGTTGAGCTATGGGGCTCCTCCACCAAACCTTCAAATTCCTTTCGCATTCAATCCTTATAATCCAAAATCCTTCGTAAAATCCTCAATGATCCTTACTTTGTTACAAATAAAATTATCCATAATGACCTTAATGTTCCTTATGTATCAGATTTGGCCCAATCCAGATATCTGTCCTTCCATAATAAACTTCATAACCATCCCAACCCTCTTGTTTCTAACCTTGCTTCCTATTCAATTCCTGATAACCCTCCGAAGCGTCTGAAAAGAAGATGGCCACGTGATCTTCTAATATAGACATATTATTAGAGTGCTACCAATGGGTAGTTTCTCAACATGTGTTTCATGTCATTATATCCATGTGCGAATTTACCAGATGTATTTTTTTGTATACAGTTGTAAATATCATATAAATAAATAAATAAATAAAAAAAAGTTTAGTTAAAAAAAACAAACTTAAAATTGTATTTAAATAGTTTAAAACACATACAGTAAAATGTCAAGGGTAAATTTAGAAGCTCCTGATTTACACTAACAACCAATGCACATAAAATTTAAAGCAAATTTTTAATGATGCGATCTATCACAATAATTAAATAGAAAAATAAAATCATGAGAATATTTATCCTTAAGAAAAATGAATAATTTAACCATGTTACTTTAAAATTGATATGACTAATTAATAACTAAAAATATACATACAATGCATATAATTCTTGTAACTGTTCATCCAACTGTATCCAATAATCAGGAGGAATTTCAGAACCACCCATCCGAAGCTTTAATTTCAACTTCCTAGTATCACCGTCTTCCGCATCAGAAAATGTATCAGAAGGGATTTTGTGCCTTAAATAAAATGAAAAATAAAAGATTCTTTGAACTTTTGAAAGTATGTAATAATATGACAATAACAGTTAGAACTTGAAAGTACCTTAGAACTTTTCCTGCTGTAACTGCAATTTTTTGGAGTCTGTGAACAATTACAGGAGGAGAATTTTTAGGATCATAAGAAGATGGAGTAGGTTCCTCTAAAGCAGGCAAATTTGAAAGGGGCGGAGTGGGGCTACTACTTGTAAATGAATCTGTAACGTCTTTATCATTTTTTTGTTCTGGCTCCTAAAATACACAACATTATTACTAAACAATCAATGTCAATTGATTTAAAATTGTTCATTTATTTATTTATAAAATTTTCTTTGAAGTAGATTAAATAAAAAAAAATTGAAATTAAAAAATCAGTAAAATAAAATATAGTAAAAAACATTCAAATACAATGATCACAATAGACCAACAAACAGAACAGTACAATATCAGTAAAGCAAACTAATTACTACAAGGAGTTTGGATTATGGAGGGTGCTTGGTAAAACTAAACACAAAAATTTTGTGAAAAAATGTAATGTGCATACATATATAAAAATCAATTTATTTTAAGGAACTTAATTAATTAACTTAGTCAATTTTTCTTTATTTGGACTTCTGGAGGATTTTTCTCACTGCTTCTTGCTTTTAATATTATAGGGAAAGAATTTTTTTCAATGGCATATTCATCTGTGTCGTTCTTTTAATCTACACTGTGATGAACAACAACGAGCAATAAATTTTCATGCTTTACAGTATCATTTACCTCATTTGCCTTCATGCCATTCAGTTTATATAAAAGTAGTTGAGGAATTCTTGGGCAAATACCACATAGGAATGTTAAAAGTAATTTTATTAATATTAATTACAAATCGATCATATGTTATATCGATTATATAAATTTAAAAAAAGATATACCCATAAAACACATGTTTTAAGATATAACCCTGTTCTTTCTATGAAGTTGTGTTGTTAGTTTAATAAAGATTGATTTTGATTAGTTTAAAAAAGGCTTGAGATTTATTCAATGTTTTGCACTTAATAAAAACACCCATAAACCATTAATAAAATCAACAGGTTATAGGCCCAGGACATTCTGCAAATTAAGAAAAGTAATAGAAAGTAAAATTGTTACGTGGTGAAGTGAAATTAAAAACAGAAGAGATTAAGTGGATGATTAAAACTTAAAAAGGTAAGGTTAACAATTCTATTTACGTATACTTAAAATGTCAGAATCAGAAGACACAAACTCTTTTCATCTTTGGAAATTTCAAATAGATATTTTTATTTAAAGCAAAATCATTAGATGAAATAGTCACCGGGAAAAATAAAGTTTCAACAACAGATGAAGAAAAAATCCAAAATGAATGGAAGAGAAAAGATGCAAGAGCACAACATATTATAGTTTCAACCATAGAAAAACAGGCATGCTCACACATAATGAGTGCTAAAACATCAAATGAAATGTACGAAAAATTACGCCAAATATATGGTAGAGAAAATGAACAAAAGAAATGTTTATTACTACGAGAATTTTTTAACTATAATTTTAAAAAAGATGGTGACATGGCTTTTCATATTAGTTCTTTAAAAAATATGCAGTACAGGTTAAAACATATTGATCAATCTCCGATGACATGCTTATATAAAAAAATATGTCAACATTGCCAAATAAATACAAGTATCTTGTGACAGCTTGGAAATCAACACCAACTGAAGAGAGAAATTTAGATCATCTGACATCTAGACTTTTCGCGGAGGAGTTTCGATCAGAATACGAAACTAAGGAAGTTGCATTTAAAACAACTGAGAGAAAATGTTTTAAATGTAATAAGGTTGGAAACATTGCAAGATTCTGTAAAAAAACAAAACAAGAAGAAAATAAAGAAAGCAAGTTTTGTAAAATATGCAAGAAGAGAAATCACATCTTAGAAAAAAAAAACCAACAAGTAAAAATAATGAGCAACCTAAGAAACATGCATTCTTAACAACAACTCATACCAGTAAAGATAATAAATCTTTTGTGGTTGATAGTGGGTATTCTTCTCATATGACAAATGACTTATTATCACTAGAAAACTACATAGAAAATGGTTCTGATGTTGCAATAGCAAAAAAGAACCACTCTATGCAAGTGAATGGGTCTGGAAAAATAGAAGGTAAAACTTGTATACTAAATGATGTTTTGTATTTTGTGTATTGTATTGACTATGTTAGATGATTATACTCACTTTGTCAAAATTTATTTATTAAAAACTAAAGATGAGACTAAGGAATGTCTAAAAAACTACATCGATGAATCAAAAAAGGTTTAATAACTTAAAAGTTTCAAAATTAAGATGTGATAATGGTGGGGAATATTCAAGTTTACGTTTTAGAAAATTGGGGCCGAAATAAAGGTATTATTTTGGAATACTCAATATCACACACACCGCAACTAAATGGAAAAGCTGAACGTCTAAATAGAACACTTTTAGAAAGGACCAGAGCATTATTTTTTGACACAAATTGTTTGTTGTGTTTGTGGGGAGAGGCAGCCTTCACTGCTCCTTATCTAATAAATCGAAGTCCAACAGAAGGCATAGTACCAGCTGCAAGGTGGTATGGTAAAGTGCCAGACTTATCAAGACTTCAAATTTTTGGAACTACTGCTTTTGGGAAACAACTAGGACTTTAAAAAAATGATATTCGTAGGATATTCTCTAAATATAGACTAATAATATATATAGACTAAATATAGACTATAGGACCCTGAAAAATGTAAAATAGTTATATCCAGAGATGTAGTGTTTAAAACAGAAATGGTGAATGAAAGGTCTTCATCAGATCGACAAATATTTAAAATCCACTTACAAGACAATATTTCAGAAGATAAAGAAGAAAATGAGGTGCAGTTAGAAGAAGATGAGAGAAATCTTGAAACAGTCGATGACAACTCAACAGAAGGATGTACTGCAGATACAGTTGTGGAACAATTGAAAGAAGCTAGTAAAACCCACTTAAATAGTTTAGAAGGCGAAAGAAATGATGTAGAAAATCCTGTTTTTGAATCAGATCAATATGGACGTGAAAAAAGAATTAAAAAACCTCCTGAGAAGCTTGAAGATTTTGTATTACTTACATACAATGAAGCTGTCAATGGGCCTGAAAAACAAAAATGGATATAGGTCATCAATGAAGAAATGAATTCCCTCAAAGAGAATAAAACCTGGATCTTAGTAATAAGAGAAGAAGTGAAAGAGAAAAAGATTTTAGGAGTTGGAAAATATTGACTGTTAGCTTATTTTTATTCACTAGAAAAATTTCTAAGAAAAATACTAGTTTAAGGTTCATCTAGAGGATCGCAAATTGATTTTAAATATTCGTTAGTATTTTTGAGTAAAATCTGACTTAGCGTTGATGTAGACTTGAGCGCTTTCCTAAAGAAGTGCTGCATGCTGCTATTGATGACTGACCACGGAGATTAAATGCCTGTGTCAAGGCAAAAGGGGAACATTTTGAGTAATTTCTTTTTTGTTTTACTCTCTATAGATATACATTTTATTTTCTAATAAAGTTTTTGAAAAAATTAATTTTTTGTTGAAATCTGTTTATATTTCCTTGTAACAATATTTATGACAGGACTAGGTATGTACCTCATGTATTATTTTTAAGTTAATATTTGAGAAGATTAAGTAGCTGTTAAAGGCCAAGAAATCGAAGGCGTATTTCAAGTCCGAGTGCTCTAATGATTTTTCAACTTTTCGTATATTAACAATTATACGTGAGTTCAATAAAAATTCTGATGCACTTTCAATTTAATTCAAGCTTATGTAGAGTCATGACTCCGCCAGTGGGTGTAGTGTTGCTAGGTGAACCACTGCCAGTCCCAAGCCTGGATAAAGGAGGGTTGAGCGTGAGGGATGGGCGAAGTCACCTCTATAAAAAAAAGTACAGTCCAGAAACTGTCGGAAGAAAGGAACCCAGCGCTACTTGGGTATTGCATTAGTGACAGGATTTGCAGAATCCAAATGAAGGGTAGATTCTGCAATATATCACTGATTAGTGTGCATGCCCCTTGTGAAGATGCAGAGGAACTGGACAAGGAAACATTCTATACCAATCTGGCAAGGACATACGAGCAGATACCACAGTAAGACACTAAGATTGTGCTCCGAGATTTCAATGCTCAGATAGGCATGGAAGAAATATACAAACCCACAATTGGGCTAAATAGCAGACATGAAGTAACAAATGATAAAGGATTTCGAACAGTAGAATTTGCCATGTCTAAAGGAATGAGGGTTATGACAACTATGTTCCCCCACAAAAATATTCACAAGGAAACATGGATAAGTATACAAATTTAAACTAGCCAAATAAAAACCATTGAAAAGATAAAAAGCGCTCTAGTTGAGAGTGGCAGATACTGCAAGTGAAATATGCCTTCGATTTCTTGGCCTTTAACAGCTGCTTAATCTTCTCAAATATTAACGTAAAAATAATACATGACATACATACCTAGTCCTGTCATAAATATTGTTACAAGGAAATATAAACAGATTTCAACAGAAAAATTAATTTTTTCAAAAACTTTATTAGAAAATAAAATGTATATCTATAGAGAGTAAAACAAAAAAATAAATTACTCAAAATGTCCCCCTTTTGCCTAGACACAGGCATTTAATCTCCGTGGTCAGTCATCAATAGCAGCACGCAGCACTTCTTGAGGAAAACGCTCAAGTCTACATCAACGTTAAGTCAGATTTTACTCGAAAATAGTAATGAATATTTAAAATCAATTTGCGATCTTCTAGATGAATCTTAAACTAGTATTTTTCTAGTGAATAAGAATAAGCTAACAGTCAATATTTTCCAACTCCTCACCCATTGGCCCTGCATCAAAAAACTGTTTATAAAGTTGATAGTAAATTTTATCTTCTTTAACGTATATAATAATAATTTCGATAGAATGCATAGTTTCGGAGTTCAACAAAATTTGGGAAATTTTGCTGTTTTTTGCAGATATCTTAAAACACAATGGAGAATTTCCTACAGGAACATCAAATTCTGATTCGTCATCTCCAAAAACATAAAAAACCGACTTTTTGAATTTTTTCCTCATCCAGCTACCGTCTGATTAGCCTAATTTGATGACTTTGACATCGTCAGTTTTCAAAACGCTACCGATTACATCGTCGGTCAAGGTGAATTCTCTTTTAGTGACATATTCTTGAAATCATATCAAAATTTCAGCCATTAGATCTTCCGTTTAATGAACCGTAGAATTTCGCCTCTTTAATTTAAATCGCCCAACCCTCCTCCCCTTAAAATATGTTTAGAGGGCGTGAATATCATCTCCCTCCCAATAATTTGAGGGAAAAAATTAGAATCAATAATAAATAAGCTAAACAAATGAATAATAGTCCGTGGTCCGGCCCCCTTTTATCAAATTATTAACATCCACCTGTATTTACGAGTTTTTAGTACCTAATTAAATAGACAAAGTTTGCAGACTTTCAGAATGAAAAGGTCCCAATTCAGAGAATTTTCGTAAATAAAATATTTGCAGGTGAAGTCAGATTTTACTCGAAAATAGTAACGAATATTTAAAATCAATTTGCAATCCTCTAGATGAATCTTAAACTAGTATTTCGCGAGGATAGATAAAAAGTTTCTGCTCCCAAAATAATATTGTTTTTAAAAAAATTAGCTGTGAAGCTGCCAGCGTTTTCCTTTACTTAACCAACGAATGGTTATTGCAACACAGAAAACTGCAATTTTTAAAACAAGTTGACACCCAACTGGGCTTAGCATTTTAAGGTTGACTATTGTTCTAAAGGGTGTTCGCCTAGAGACAGAATTGCCTTATATAAAAAAGAAATATGTCCATAGACGTATACATTACAGATAGTAAATAGTATTGGTAAATTTTGTTTTTAAAAAGCACTATTTTAACACCATTTTGTTCACTGTTGAAATTTTAGAGGAAGGAGATGGTCCCTGGTGGCGGTTATAAAAAAAAAAAAAAAAAATTAAAATAGTGAAGAAAACTATTTTATTTCAAGTGGACGTATCGACCCGACTTTACAGGTCTTCTTCAAGACTAGAACGAACAAGAAACAAGAAGATATAGAAAATTGTGTTAGTTACATAAAATTTAGATAAAAATTATAAACAATGTGAATAAATTTATTAAAATTATAAACAGTGTGAATAGAAAGTACATATACATACAAATATTAATAACAATGAACTATACAAAAAGAGTAAGTATAACTAAGTAACAAGAACCTAAACTGAAGTAAATAAATGTAATAAGGAGGATGGATAATCTATGTAATTATGAATATAATCCTACAGACCATAAGGAAAGATTGAAAGAAAAAGGAAAAAATAATAAGAAATAATGGACATAAAGGTCCACCCCGGACCATCTCCTCCCTCTAAAATATATAAAGGTCAACCATCAAGTATTCCAAAACTTGTTTTAACTTTCTTCTTGAAGACTAGAAATCTATATGAATTGCAAATTCTTCTGAAAGTAAACAAGAGAGCTTAAGAATAATGCTATTAGAAACAATACAATTACAGATAAAGTGTCACAATTAAAAAAAAACTTAAGTTGATCAAGTTCCTAAATTGGGATAACGAAAATGAAAAGCATTAATGATGACAAACCTATAATTAAAAAAAGAAAAAAAAAACAATATATAAGCACAATATAAATAATGATAGATATGATTAGTTTAATGAAAAAAATGAAGTTTTAATATCTTAAAATGTTGATTACATGGAAAATCGAAAGCGTGATCAATCGATATTTATTTCCTAAGAAGTGAAATTGGTGGGAAAAGAAGGCTACTTTAAAAAAATAAGGGTAATAAGTACCTTAAACCATAAAATTTTGAAATTTACTTTAAATGAACGTGAGATGGAGGAGACAAGGGCTGACAAGACTACCTCTCCGCAATAGTGGCGCTGCCTGGTGCTATTTGTTGTAAACCTTATCTCAAACATTGTGGATAGCCTGTCAGCAACCAAGATGGCTATAAGAGTAGCAAAACGGAATTAGTACCAAAATCAACAGCTGTACACCATTTTTAAGGAGCCCGATATAGTTCAGGTGATGAAGATTGCAGGACACATCGTCAGGATGGGCAGTGAAGGATACACCAAGACAACTGCTAATGAAGCCACTCCGTATTACCAGAAGAGAAAGGACAAATCTGCGATGGGCTATTGGTGTTGCTGTTGATACAACAAATAAGCTGAGGATTCGTAATTGGATGGCGGCTTCAACGGACCAAGACAATTGGCGGAAGCTGCTGGAGGAAACCATTCAACACCGGATTGTAGAGTCGGGATAATAATAATAATAATTCCAGTGTAATGAATATTCCTCTCTTTATTATCGAATCTTAAAAATCTTCAAAATTTACTTACCAGAATAATATCACTAGATGATGTTATTTCATCATAAGGTACTGATGGAGAATTATTCCGTTCATATTCCTCAAGTGTAATACTTGATGGTCTGTTAGGAATCTAAAAATAAATAAATATATAAATAAGAAAAAAAAAGTTTTATGTAAACCAATAACTAAATGTTACTAAATTCTTTAAAGAAATAGAAATCATTAACAATAATAAATATCTGTCTAATCTTAAAGTTATTAGTACTCTCAGTAGCTGAGAAAGTGATTTTAGGAATCCACTTGTGCGGTAAGAAGGAGTTTTCTAAAAGCATATCGTTCTCAATACAGAACTCAATTGGGCGCTGTCCACTTTCATTCACAATGCACACTCCACCATGTGGGCTCATCACTCCATATGCGCTCAAATGGTCATTGCCTGTTCTTACATTGAGTCCTCCCATTATTAAAATGCTTCTGTAACTGTTTCTTGCTTTAACAACAACTCGATCCAGATTGTTATAGAGAACTGTTGTTTCTCAAGGATGTCAGAATCGTTCGTAGGAGCATATACTTGGATTAGTTGAACATAATTGATACCTGTGAGAGTAATTACAAATTCAATAGTATTTTCAAAAACTACGCCCCTGAAAACTTAATACAGACCCCAATATCGAAGAAATCTGAAAAGTTAAAATTAATCGGTTGGTAAAAGAGTAATCTTAAAATCCATAGTGTTATTAAAAAGTACGCCTTCGATAACCTAATAACAGACCCCTAAATCAAATATATTCGAAAAGTAGGAATGAATCGATTAATGAAAGAATTACCCTAAAATTAATAGTGTTTTCAAACAGTATGCCTCCGATAGCTAACAGACCCCTAAATCGAAGAAATCTAAAAAGTTACTTATTTAATGGAATTTCAAATGTAAATACAAATAAAATTATATGTTATTTGGAAAGATGCATATAACAAGTAATTTAGTGGTGTTTAGTATTTAAATAAAATTATTTATTTGAAGATCAAAAAATAAATACTTATTTAAAAAATAACATCCCAGCTCTGGTCTTACAGATAGCTTGAAAATGGCGATTTAGACAAAAGTAGCATAATCGTCAAGAAGTCTAGTACATTGAAACCTCAGCCTTACAGCATTTCTTTGTCTCATACACACCTTCAGTGAGGGAGTCAACCAAGGGCAGGAGGATGTTGGATTGCCTTAGTAACAAGAGTAGCATGATGGTCAAGGAATTTAATAGGTAAGGATTTTTATCTTGTTATCGATAGAACTTATGGAATAAATTGCACTAGATTGCTTCAAGATCATGCTGCAGAGTGCCATAAGTGAGGTTATTAAGGTTTAGTTCAGACCTTATTAAGACATAGTTCAGGGAGAGAGGAGAGAAATAGGGATATTGTATAAAACTTGGATAAGATCAGGAGCAGATAGAAATGAGAATGGTTGTGATGAGGAAAGGAGTTTATCTGAGAAATCCAGGATATACAGGTCAAGCCAGGATTCAGAAAACTGCTAAACTAATACAACATTTAGTGACTTACATAGGTTGGTGTAGGCATCATGTTAGAATCCATTGCAGTATTATGAGAATGAGGATGCAGACCATGATTATGTCTATGGTGGTGATAAGTTACTTCAGTCGTAGTTGTTTCAGAAGGATCAGGAGTAAATTTAGGAGTGGCAAAATTTTGAACAACAGGTCGATGATCTGGAATGCCGGTATCAAACTCTTCATTTCCATCAATTTGCTGGATCAAGTTGTTTATCTAAATGAAAAATTGCCATCTCTGAACTTCTACAAATTTTTAAAAATAGTAAGAATCAAAAATTTGTTTAATACCTCTCTTTTAGATCGATAAAAAGTTTTTTTTTCCTTCCAGAGTTTCCATCCAATTACAGGTTCCTTCAAAATTTCAGCCAATGACCCATTTAAGGAACTTGTGGAAATTTCATCTAATAACACAATATACTTGCTCCAAATGTTATCATCACAGCCAACCTGTAATGAAATTACAAGATAATTATTGGAAATTAAAGTTTTCTGCCGAAAAAACAACATATTTGTTGAGAAAAAAAGAAGATGCTCTTTCCTAATAGAGAGAGGGAGGGAGTGATTGAGTGAGTGAGAGAGAGATTGATTTTTTTATTGCTTTAGTGCTTATGACCCTTTGTTACAGACAAAAATACCAAAACATTTTGAATTTTACAGTTTTCATTACAATATACATTGTAACTTTCTTATGATATATTTTACAATTTAATTTTAATTCTAATGTTAAGCATATGGCCACACCAAGACTTACTGCCATCATTTGCCGTGTTGTGTGAAATGTGGAAAGCACCACAAATCCAGTATAAAACCGAAAAGAACATCCAGCGAGCTATATACACTGTCAGATATATAAGAATATCAAGTCAAGATATCAAAAATCTCGGAACCAAGAAGAAGCAGAAAGATCAAGAAGAGAACCTACTGGAACAAGAAGAGACCCTTCCAAATTAGTAGACCCAACGATGTCTTTTGCATTTTCTAGGAGGTAAGAACGAAATTACTAATTGTGAGACCCTGTTGCAACAACAATATTCACCTCAAAATCCCCAACCCCACCCTCAACACCCTACTACTGGAATTCCATTTGAAATGAAGCTAAAAAAACCACAACCAACAGGAAGGTGTCCTGGTGAAATGGTAGCCTAACAAAGCAACGAACACTCACAAGGAGATTGTTTAATGCTACAAAAACATCTGGCAATTGGGATACCTATAAGAAAGCTCTTACTGAGTATCAACATCAACATCAACTTCACTTGACATTAACTATAAGTTATTTTTTATTATTAAAAATGGTCCAGTGCACGATTTGTAATAACGCTATTGCCCGTGAAGGTAAATACAATTTATGTTGTACCAAGTGCAAAGTTATTTATAACGGCAAGTGTTTTAATCTCACAGACAAAGAGATAGAAGCTCAGAGAAGCACAAAAAAAAAACATGGATGTACCTAAATTGCGATCAAACAAAGAAACTAAATTTAAACAATGAACCGCCTGTATCAGAAATATTAGCAGCAGTTAATAGACTGAATAGTCATGTTAGTGAGGAAATAAGGGATATGAAGACAGCCCTCGATAAATATGGAGACCTCAGCTTTGAACTGAATGAGAGGTTATCGAAATTAGAAAAACATCTCGAGGGCCAAGCCAAACATTTTGAGGAGATCATTTTGGAAAATAAAGCCCTCAAAGCTCGAGTGGGCGATTTAGAGATCCGCCTGAACAAAACAGAACAGGGTCAATTATGTAGATCGCTGGAGATCTGTGGGATACCAGTGCGAGCAGGCGAGACGCCCGCGGCTCTGGTGACCAGTATAGCCGCGGGGCTGGGCATCAAGCTCGGAGTGGAGGATGTGGATGTCGTGCAGCGCCGCAGAAGCAAGAAGGATGACCCGCGACTGCCGCCGGTAATAGCGCATTTTGTCAAGCAGTCAGTGAGGGACGACCTGATAGCGAAAAGGAAAGTGAAGAGGGATTTCTCGACGCGTGATATCGGGTGGCAGGAAAACGACTGCCACCGAATTTATCTCGGCGAGGAGATGACCCCAACAAACAGGCACCTCTACTGGCTAGCCCGGCAGAAGAGAGCTGCCAGGAAGATAAGATACATATGGTTCGCTGCCGGCATTGTGCGTTGCCGAAAAGCAGACGGCCATCAAGTAATCTTGATTAATCAGGCATCGGATCTAGAAGTTTTCGCCTGACTGCACAGGTTTCATCTCTTCTTCTCGTTCATCAAAGTATTTTTTGTCTTCATTGGTGCCCAAATAACTTTAAAGATTTTGGTTAAAATTTCTCATAGCTCCAGTTTACTAATTTGTTTATTTTCTTACTCTTATTTCTCACTTATTTTTTCATTATTCACTTTTATTTTGCTTATCAGTACTTTTTATAATTTTTTTTCAGAATATGATATTTGCCTCATTTCCTCTATGCTAATTTCTGACTGTTTCCCATCAAATCCTCCCCATGTCTAGCATCCTAACCACCTGCCACGTTAACTCGCAATCCCTTCCCGCCCATTATGATGAATTCCTGCAGTACTTTTCTCAAAACTTTTTTCACATCATCGCAATCTCAGAAACCTGGCTCAAACCCTATATTCCGTCCTCATCTGTCTCCTTACCTAATTACACCCTCATCCGCCACGACCGGGTCAGCCGGACTGGTGGTGGGGTGGCCATATTTGTCCATGATAGCCTGAAGTCCCCGATTACTCCCCACCCTCCGAACATCCACAAGTGGAGTACCTCCTAGCAGAAATTACCTGTAATAATTCCCCTCTCCTTTACATAGTGATCTACCGTCCTCCCCTTGTTCCATTTGATCCGTCCTTAGAATCAACCCTACTCAACTTTGTTCCCCTCTATCCTAGAATAATCATCGCTGGTGACCTCAATACCAATTTCCTTTCTAATTCCAAAGACAAAACCTATCTAGAAAACCTATTTGTTTCCCTCCATCTCTTTATTGTTCCTTTTTATCCTACTCACCACACCCACAAGGCCGACACTTGGTTAGATTTCTTCATTATAGACTCCGAAATAAATCTCCTCTTCTCTTCTCAACTGCCAGTATCCTTCTTGTCGTCTCACGACATGATCCAAATAACATATAATATCCAACCCCTCTGATTCATCCGAGAACCTTCACTTTCCGTCAGATAGACACTCTCACCCGTGAAAAAATACTACCTGACCTTGAAACCTTAGACTTGAACGAAATATATTCCTGCTCTTCCATCGACTCCATGGTTGAGATCCTGACTTCCAATCTCCTCAATATCCTTAACACCCATGTTCCCATAAAAACCTCAACCTTTCGCCGCCGGCCTGCACCTTGGATGTGTCAAGAAATCAAGGATCTGCAGAAGAGGCGTGATGCTGCCCGCAGACGCTTTAGACGTACTAGGCTTACAGATGACTATCAAGCGTTTAGGGTGCTCCGCAATTTGACACAAACAAGAATTCGGCGAGCTAAAGCTTCCTACTTCCATGAAGCCCTGTCATCTGCCCCAGATCCCAAATCTAAATGGCTAATCCTTCGCAAACTTTCCCTCTGTGAACCTTCCAGATCCCCTTCCTCACTGTTCTTTTCCGTTTCACCGGACGATTTAAATTCACATTTTATTTCTGCCTCCTCTACCTCTTCTCTTCCCTCCTCTTCCAACTTTGCTCCTGAGTCATCATTTAACAATGATGACTTTTATTTCTCCTACATTTCCCCGACTGACTTACTAACCGCAGTAATGAAATCCCACACCAATTCTATAGGACCAGATGGCATTCCTGTCAAATTGATAAAATTATGTCTTCCCGAAATCCTCCCAGTTCTCCTTTTCATTTACAATTTCTCCCTACAGAACTCAATATTCCCTTCCTCTTGGAAAAAAACCATTGTACTCCCTTTCAAAAAAAAAAACTGTCATGGACTAAGCACATTCAGAACGTGACAAGTAAAGCTCTCAAATGCCTATGGGCCTGTAAAAGAGCGATAGGAAAAAATTTGGGACTCAAACCTAAAATGGTATACTGGTTGTACACAACGACAGTTAGACCTATCATACTTTACTCAGCTTTGCTATGGTGGCACAAAGCAAAGACTGTAGTTAACTCATCCTTATTAGGAAAGATTCAAAGACTAGCATGTATGATGATAACGGGTGCGATGGGCACTACACCGACGGCTGCTATGGAAGTCATGTTGAACATGCCACTGCTGCAGCTGTAGCTGTAGGTGGAGGCTCGAGCAACAAATAAATTATACAGGCTAAGCAAGTTGACAAGCTGCTCTGTAATCCCCTGTCAAGGGACACACACAGTACTGCTGAACAGGATTGGACGTGACGAAGTGCTAGCCATGCACTCTGACACTCTGATCCGGGAATATCAGGACAGGACTGCAAATATGGGGTTGAGATAGACAGCAGCAGATAACACAAACCAAAATATGGTATTAATTGTTATAAAGATGGCTCTCTAACAGCCAATGGCTCAGGAGCAGGCATCTATCGCAAGGATAACAAAGAAAAAGATTCTATAGCTCTTGGCAGATATGCCTCAAGTGTTTCAATCTGAGATACTGACAATTTGCCTTTGTGCACAAAACCTACTGTGAAACAATGTGACTGGGAAAGACATTACAATCTATACCGACAGTCAGGCAGCAATAGGCGCTATTAACAATTATTATGTGTATTCAAAGGTTGTTAAGGAATGCAACACAGCACTTAATAAACTAACTGAGCAAAATAGAGTTGCAGTGGAGTGGGTGCCCGGTCACTTGGGCATACTAGGCAACGAAGAAGCTGATGAACTAGCCAGATTGGGCTCAGATACTATTCTCGTAACTCCTGAACCTGTTTGTGGAATCAGCCTTAGTACTACCAAAAGTAGGATCAGGGAGATTTATGGAAACGTATTTAAAAAATACTGGACTGAGAAGAAACAGCGACATTCGACTATTTGGGGAGGAACGAATGGATCTTCCCAGTAGATATGAGACGGTCAATCCAAACAGCCTACTAAGATACACGGAAGAGGCAAAAATAATGTTTTGATAATAAACGAATAACTGAATTGGCGCACAATGGATCCTTCAGGGGTCGACGTGCCTTGAGCCAACACTTTAAAAAAAAAATTCATTAAAATATAAACAGAGTAAGCTAAGTAACAAGATCCTAAACTGAAGTAAATAGATGGTAACAATTATTGTAGTGTAGTATATTGTAACAAAATTAATAAATTTTGCTTTTTAATGTTGTTAACTTTTATATCCTTAATTTTTACATGATTATTATATTAAGCCAGATGAAGGAGCTAAACTGGTAGCAAGATAAAATAAAAAATTATATACAGGAGGACGTCCGTCTTTTTATTGAATTTTATTCTTTGTTTATTACTATAACTTTTAGATAGGATAAAGAACCATAAATAAATAAATTTA